GTGACGACACCAGCCTGACAGTATGGAACACACAGACATACAACTGAAAATAAAACACTGAGGACAAGAAAAGACTTGTTATTGAGGAGTTACAGAAGAAACAAAAGCTAGCATGAAACAACTAAATCCTAACTAATAATAGCAGCACACTATTTCCAATATAACAGAAGAAATCAAACTGCTGGGTCACAGACCCGCCCCTGATAGCTGATCACTTTGGTTATTGTGTCAGGTAAGCTGAGTGTGTCTGAAACAGTCAGTGAAATGGAGAACAGAAAATGTCGCGAGCCTGGAGATGTGGTTAGTTTGCCTCAACAGAAATGGTTTGGTAAAGGACTGCAGCGAGCCTCTGAGCCACACTGTGTGCACGATGTAGCAGTAATCAGCCAGAAACACGCATGCAGCGGCCTTTCTTTTTCAGGACAGAGGTACTAAAGGGTTAAAGTGTTTCAGCCATAAATGCAGATGCTGCAGATCCACACACGCTCTGCCTGCACTGCGTGTTGCATTTAAATGTGACACTGATTTAATTTGTCAGCAGAGAAGAAGAGCAGCAGAAAGGAGGAGAAGATGATGTATCATTCATTGCTGAAGGAAGAAAGAACACGAAGATGTTCTGCTTTCCTTTCCTGTCCTCTCTGAAAGATGCCCTCTGCTGGTTCGAGCTCGTAACAACACTGACCTGGTCAGCTGATCTTTAAGCCAACACCAACTGAACCCAGATGTTCTGTTGTTCAGCATACAAACTAAACATCTCCTGCCCAGTCGGCTCGGTGTGCAGATTGAGATTGTGTTGTTACAGATCGCAGTGACAGTCAGCTTTTGGGCGTCGGGCCAAATTAGGCTCACCTCGGGGGGAGGAATGTCTCACAAGCTGTTTTCTAACTCAGTGATCAGATCGATGAAAGTTTCCAGCTGTTTAAACTATTTGTGGTCTGAGGGAAGCCCTACTGCAAGCTGGGAAGAATAAAAGAAGCTGGAACACGAGCCTTTACCTGTTTGTTTTTACTTGATAAATATAGTTGATATAAAGCATCAAAGTTGTTATATCTGGTAAAACCAGATTAATAAAACATTTCCTGAATATGGTGAACGGGTTTTAGGCCACGCCTCTGAACTGTCAGTACACTGTCTATGGATCACCATGTTGCCTTTTCCTTGTTCTGTTTTATAATGTTAAAAAATACATTAAAAATATTGTAAATGTACAAGCATTACAGAGAGCCTCATGGCTTCCCCGCATGTGCTGGGGCAGGGAACCGATCACTTTCATTTTACTGTTACTGTCTAGCTTCCCCTGGTATTCACGCGTTTGTAATAACATGCCTGATGTGACTGCAGGTGATGCATAAGCTCGTGATTACCGTCACTGTTTTGTTCCTTTGTTTTCTGTGGTGAGGGAGCTTAGTCTCAAATTGTAGCTCTTAATTTATCTGCCATTATCTGTCATCTGTATATATATATAAAAACAACAACATCCAGCACGCACCTGCGTGTGTGTGTGTGTATATATATATATATATATATATATATATATATGTATAATGTATATATGTGTGTATATATGTGTGTGTACAAGTAAATAAAAAAACATCTAACAAGGTTAGCAGCTCAGAGGAAAAACTACTCCAGTGCACCGTGCAGTGGGTTTAGGGAGTTCTATGAGCTCTCTGTCCTGTGAGTGTGTCGGGAGAGATGACAGATAATGAAATGATGTAAAGATTTCAGTCACCTCACATTCTCCTCAGAAACCTCAGTTAAACCAGCCTGGAGCCAGTTTAAACCACCTTCACAAGCATCGCTGTGAATTCATAAAACAGCAGAACCGTCATCTACATCCTTAATAAGGATATCAACCATCTATTCTCTTCAGTTTATCCTTTTCAGGGTGTGGGGGGGCTGGATCTATCCCAGCTGTCTCAGAGCGAGGGGCAGGGCACACCCTGGACAGGTCGCCAGTCTGTCGCAGGGCTAACACATAGACACAGACAACCATTTGCACCTATGGGCAATTTAGAGTTTCCAATTAACCTATCCTCCCACCCAGAGTACTCGGAGAGAACCACACAAACATGGGGAGAACATGCAAACTGTGCCACAGTGCTGAATATCAAGGACTCCCTGAAATGATCTGTGTTGTGTTGTAGATGTAATGTACTGTGAATGGACCGGCCTTCACAAGCAGAGACACAAGGAGGCGTGGCATCTCATTCTACCCAATCAGCATCGAAGAGTGACATGGCTCCGGCCAATGATAAGCTGTGAAAGTAGACCAGCACCACCCATGCAGGTGAGTATTTATCACATCAATGTTACAAAGTGATCAACACAATGAACACTTTTTGATGCAGATGTGCTTAAATTACAACCTCCAAGTTACCTCTGAGCTGATGGCTGGTGTCAGAGTAAGAGGAGCCAGATAAGAGCAAGATGTCCTGGTTAGAGATGTGTTGAATGTGTTGAACGGGAGTCAGGGTGACCTTATACGAGATGAGCAGCAGTTTCACCTGCAGTTTGGAGGAATTGCTGTTCCTGGTGCTGAGTGATGTGAGACAGGTGTTCAGATCTCTCTCACGGTCTTTCAGTGTGTTTCTGGACCTGTTCGTCCCTCTCAGCTCTGCACTGAAAAGTGTCCCGTGTTGCCTCTCCAGGTGAGTCTCCAGCTGATCTGTCTATCAGTTTGTCTTTCTGTCCATTCGAGCTGTGCTAATCACATCTCGTCTCTTTCAGGTGATCAAAGAAGTTCAGCCTTTTTTTTCTTCACAGTTTTCCTCCAGATTCACTTTGCTGACAAACTACAGACACAGTAAGTGTGTGTCTCTCAGCATGTCTCTGTTCATCTGTTGTTTGTGTAAATGTGTGTGTCAGCCATAAACAGAAGCACTCTGTGTGTATGAAATGCCTTTGAGCCACGAGAGCAGATTGAAACATCGAAATCTTTGTTTACGCGGACGAAATCAACCATGTGGCAAATGAATATTTCACTGTTGATTATGATGTGCTGTGTACAGTAAATGATGGCCATAAATATCTCGCGTCCATCATACACGATAATGTTTCTGTGTTTTTGGCACAGACACATAGATATGTTGAAGGCTAGGTTGAGAGCTTCAGCCAGATGTTGAGGTTGATGGTCCAAAGCTCGGCACCAGCTACCCTGTCTTACATTTGAGTCCTGGGACCAACAGGACTATCTGCTGCCTGCTTCAGTGAGAGAGGGATGGTGCATGTTGTAATGGAAATTAGGCATTTGTTGGAAACTTAAAGAGAAGATGCCACAGATACTCAGCGAGAAATTAATACTTTGTAAACCTGCCACTCATACCACACTGATATGCAGTTCAGGTACCTCAGCTGGAAGGGTTATACATCTTTTATTTTTCTTTGTCCCGTTTGGTTCTTTTGCATCAGAATTATTGTCTGAAGGCAAAGAGAGAAGCCCAGTGGGATTACTTTACCAAGTGGACCTTCGCTGCCTTGCCTCCATTTGATCGACCTTTGTTGTTATTATTTATTTATTTTAATAAATAAAAAATGTATATCACCTGGATCACCTGAGAAAACAAGCAAACAAAAACTAATAAAAAGCGATATAATAAACACAACACCACTGTGATACTCTGTGTATATAGCAGTAAATATTAAATATTAAACATTATTGTGCAGCACGTTAGATCAACAGCGCACAGTGTGCTTTGAGGTAGGAGCCAAAAAGGGTGTAGTTTGTGTGTGTGAGCACCCGTGTGTACACCTGTGAGCATGGACGCGCTTGTTTTTAAAAGGTTCCTTCATGTAATGATCTGCTAGAGGGTGTGGGGGGGCCACAGCCCCGTCCTCCAGGGCATGAAGCAGGTATGGAGGAGATCAAGACTCCAGACATCCAGAGGCCCCCAGAACACAAGACACCAAGGGTTATACATCATTACTCAGGTGTACCCTGCCACCTGCAAATTCTTCATCCAGACTAAACTTAACATTAAATGAAACATTATCATGAACATAAAAGACAAAGATGAAGTAAATCTAAGCATGTCAAACAATAGCACGTCTTTGCTAAAACCAATCAAACCTCTTACAATACAAAAGAGTCTTTAGAAGGTTTTAAAAGAAGACTGATGAGGCAACTTAGAGCTGCTCAGGTGGGCCGTTCCTTTTGTCCACCTGAGGTGGGAATAGGTGACAGGTTTCCCCTGTGGATCTATGGTGGCGTACCAGTTGAGTAGATATAAAGTAATAAGTAAAATCCTCTCTGAGCGATTCTGGGGGCAATGGGCAGAGCCATTAAAATTGGAGTAATTTGTTCTGTTTTCTTGGTTGTTGGTTGTTTTCTTCTGCTGAATTTTGTACAACTTGAGTCTATTTAATGATTTCTGATTAAGAAGATGGATGCATTGATGCCATGGTGTGGAAGAGATGTTAGCAACATATTTTGGACAAAGTGATGGAAATAACATCTAAAGTGAAACCACCACAGTCACAATCAAACTGTGCTCCTGCTGCTGTGCTCTGAGTGAACAGACAGCAGTAATAATGATATTCAGCCCTAAACAAAATATAACAAGAGAATGGCATTGAAGTTTACATTAAATCACATGCATACTGAGCCATAATTGCATACTATGATCCACAGATAATTTTGTAAATTCATGGTAATTAGCAGCAATTAAACAAATCACTTTCTACAAACTCACTTCAGCCTTATTTCAAATCCTTTTGCTGCTCACTAATAATTAGAGGCTCCACATTTGGCATTACCCTAACTGAACATGAATGGTGAAACGCACAATGAAACAACCACTCAAAGCAATAGAACATTGAACAGTGCCCTCTTCTCTATGAGTGCTCTAACTTTTCCCAGAACAGAATCACCAATTACCAGAGTTTGACCCCCGGCGGGTGTGTGCCTGAGTGGGGAAAACGGTTAGACACATGAACGGGTTGGTGGTGTACCTGGGGCTTCTGTTTAGGACTACGCTTCCTCCTCATCGTCACCCAGCCGCCCTCTTTCCCCAGCTTCCCGGGGTCTCCCGGGAAACAGCTAGCGGGGGCTACGCTATCTTCGGCTGCACCAGCTACAGGGGCCTGGCTAGCTACGGGTGAATGAAGGGTGCGAAGCCGAGTCTCCAATTCAGTAATCCTGGCCTCCAGAGCTGCAAATATGCTACATTTGTTACAGATATCATTACTGCTAAAGGAGGCTGAGGAGTAACTAAACATCTGACACAAGGAAAGTGCAGGAGGGACAGGTGAAGTGGCCATGGTGCTAGCCAGTTGGCTACGAGCTAAGCTAAGCTAGCGAAACAGTAAAAACACAGTGAGTGAATACTTTGGCTATAAATTAGGTAGTGAGTACACAGAAAGTGTGCTTCGGATGAAGCACATGAAGATTATAATATGAAAAAAGAAGTTATCTAAAAGTTTTTATTTAAATTGTTAAGCAGATAAGCTACTCAAAAATACCACTGTGTTTAAGCAGGAACAGGAAGTGATACTCCACCGCAGAGAGAGCGAACACCAAGTGACAGCGCCACCAAGAGTCAGTTTAGCAGGATTCTCTTATTTATCCGGGACACCTTAAAGGACACCTTAAAATATTGTCTGACATTAAACCGGTCCATGGCACAAACAGGGTTGGGGGACCCTGGGTTAAATTATCCAGAGAGCAAATAGCCTAATGTACCTCTGAGGGTCCTGACTCTATTGCACAGCAAGTTCATGTTGGTAGCATCCCTTGTCTGTTTCCCTCTGAATGATTGATCAGAAAAATCTGCCCTACTTCTTTCCTGTCTACGCCTCAAGGCAGATCCCATTGGAGTACAGATGGAGCTGTGTAAAATGTAAAACGACCTTCATGATCATTGGGTTTTTATTTATACAGCACCAATTCACAACAACAGCCATCTTAAGGCGCTTAAAGCTGAAGGATGTTAAAAATAAATAAATAGCAAAGCAGGTAGAAAGAAGCCATCAAACATACTGATCATTTGCGTTTAAACTTCACCTGCTGTCTGACAGAGGTAAAGGAGCATGAAGTCATGAATCTATAAGAATTCTTTAAAAAGTGGAAATCAATGATTTTAGAGTTAAAGTTAACCCTTTAGTTCACCGTGTTTCAACTCTTCAGCAGTAAAAGTTAGGGTGTGAGTGGGTTTGGTCAGGATTAGGTTAGTCTGCAGAGCAAAACAGATCTGACTTCATCATCCTGTCACTGATCGTTTCTGACATCACGCTCTCATGACCCATGTTTCTGTTGTCACAATGTTTCATCTTCTCACAGAGTATCAAACATTGAGCCTGAGGAATTCTGTTCATCTGTCACATATTTTTAGCTTGTTACATTTTTACTCTCACAGTCAAACTAGGAAGAGAGTCGTTACTGAGCAGATAAATTAGAGTTCAAGAGGTCAAAGGAGAGCCACTTGGCTTGTTTGACTGTTTTCCTTGCAGTTCTTCAATGAGTTCACCTGTTGGAGAAAGTCTGTGCTGCCCAGTTCAGATCCAGGTATCCTGTATGAGCAATAAGTTTGATTTGTTTTGTTTGTCAGGGAAACGAGGAACGGGTGGAGGAAAGCTTTCCTATCAAGGGGCATTACTGCTGAGGACAAAGAAACCAGAAGACAGACAGGTGAGGATCCATTTAAATCAAAATAAAACTCAGATAATTCTAGCAAAATTACAACCTTTCTTTCTGTAAAGACTCAAAGCTGTTTAACACAAAATCACCTGAAATGGGTATCTTTCCATTATCTGGGTTCAACATCAATCAGGATACTGAGTCACACAAAGTTGGCCACAGTCACACAAACCTGAAACCCAGTAGGCGACCCCCTGGCAACTGTAGGTCTCAAAGGAAATATGTATATTCTAGGGGTGCAACGATACTCGTATCGATATTGAACCGTTCGATACAGTGCTTTCAGTTTGGTACCATATGTATCGAACAATACAAAATCTTTTATTTATTTTATCAACTTTTCTTCTGACGACGCTGTCTGTTTTTGAGCGTTCAGTGGATCTGCGTTCGACTACTCCGCCTAGGCTGCACTGTC